GTCAGGGTGAACCTGTGGGGGAGGGGGGAACAGGAAGAGATCAGGAGGAGGTCAGGGTGAACCTGTGGGGGAGGGGGGAACAGGAAGAGATCAGGAGGAAGTCAGGGTGAACCTGTGGGGGAGGGGGGTTCAGGAAGAGATCAGGAGGAGGTCAGGGTGAACCTGTGGGGGAGGGGGGTTCAGGAAGAGATCAGGAGGAAGTCAGGTGGGGATCCAGAGGAGATCTGGGGGAGGGGAGATCAGGAGGTGGAGCAAAATGTGAGAGACTCGGAGGACCAAATACACCCCGAGAATGAGAAACACAAGTCCTCCAAAGCACACCAACTCCCCTTCCCCGATACACGGGGTCCATATATAACGCCGACATACGCAGTGTCCATGTAAAACACTGACATACATACCTCTCACCAACTGTCTGAGACTCCACACCGGAAATTGGTATCTCCCGACATGCATTGCTCGGGACTTTATCATTTGTCTCCGATTCCGTCCCATGTACTGAAGGGAAGCCGCCATTCTTGTGGAGACCAAATCTCATTGAGTCACATGGAGAGTCGAGCTTCGGTATAGGAGACAGAAATATTCCGGGTCCTGAGGAGACGATGAGGACACAAAACCGAGAAATATGACAACTGTACTTGTCACCCGATACAGAGGAGTCACTGGGGCGAGAAGGGGAGGGTAACTGTGCCTTATACCTCACCTGGGGGGTATTATTTTGCCATAGGGCAGTCAGGAGGGGAAGGGGGCGGGTCTCTGTGCCTCATACCTCACCTGGGGGGTATTATTTTGCCATAGGGCAGTCAGGAGGGGAAGGGGGCGGGTCTCTGTGCCTTATACCTCACCTGGGGTATATTATTTTCCCATAGGGCAGGCAGGAGTGGAAGGGGGAGGGTAACTGTGCCTTATACCTCACCTGAGGGTATTATTTTCCCATAGGGCAGGCAGGAGTGGAAGGGGGAGGGTAACTGTGCTCCATACCTCACCTGGGGGGTATTATTTTGCCATAGGGCAGTCAGGAGTGGAAGGGGGAGGGTAACTGTGCTCCATACCTCACCTGGGGGGTATTATTTTCCCATAGGGCAGTCAGGAGTGGAAGGGGGTGGGTCTCTGTGCCTTATACCTCACCTGGGGTATATTATTTTCCCATAGGGCAGGCAGGAGTAGAAGGGGGCGGGTCTCTGTGCCTTATACCTCACCTGGAGGGGTATTATTTTCCCATAGGGCAGTCAGGAG